TTGTGATTATAAGTTTGTATCCTTAGTCTTTTTGATTGGGTTACTTGTATAATTTTACTTATTCTACATGTTTGAATGAAATATAATATAATGTTATTTAATTTTTCCAATTAATTTCTTCCCTACTACAGACCGTGCCATTGTTTTTGACGGAGGTAGCCCCGGTCCAACACAGAGGAGCAGTGAACATCATGTTCCAGCTCTTTGTAACCATCGGCATCCTCATCGCCGGGATGGTCAACTTCGCCACCTCCAAAATCCACCCCAATGGGTGGCGCTATTCTTTGGGCCTCGCGGGCGTGCCGGCCTTGATCTTGGGGGTGGGTAGCCTGATCATCACGGAGACCCCGGCGAGCCTGTTGGAGAGGGGAAAGATGGAGGAGGCGAGGGCGGCGCTGAAGAAGATTAGGGGCGTGGAAGGGGTGGAGGCGGAGTTTCAGGAGATGCTTGCCGGTTGCGAGAAGGCCAAGCTGGTGAAACGGCCGTTCAAGAAGCTAATGAAGAAGGAGAGCATGCCCCCGCTGATCATCGCGATCATGATGCAGGTGTTCCAGCAGTTCACGGGGATCAACGCCATTATGTTCTACGCCCCGGTGCTCTTCCAGACCATGGGGTTCAAGGCCGATGGCTCTCTCGTGTCCACCGTCATCACTGGCCTGGTTAATGTTTGCAGTACCTTCGTCTCCATCTACGCCGTCGACAAGGTTGGTCGGAGAAAGTTGCTCCTGCAAGCTTGTTGCCAGATGCTCATTTCTCAGGTTCGTAAAATTTGGAGTAAGAATATTGATCTAATTTGGTGTTTAGAATATTAAGTTTTGGATTTGAAGTGCAGCTTGCTATCGGGATAATCTTGTCGACGCAGTTCTCAGCAACGGGATCACTGAACAAGAAGCTAGCAGCAGCGGTGGTGGTATTGGTGTGCACCTACGTGATGTCGTTTGCATGGTCATGGGGACCCTTGGGATGGCTGATACCCAGCGAGACATTCCCCATGGAGACGCGAACCGCCGGGTTTGCCTTCGCCGTCAGCGCAAACATGCTCTTCACCTTCCTCATCGCCCAAGCCTTCCTCTCCATGCTCTGTACCATGCAAGCTTCCATCTTCTTTTTCTTCTCCGCCTGGATCGTCACCATGGGGGTCTTCGTCGTCTTCCTCTTGCCGGAGACCAAGGGGGTGCCCATCGATTCCATGGTGGATAGGGTCTGGAAAAAGCATCCCGTGTGGAAGAGGTTCTTCGACGACGCATAAGAGTTGTGATGATCGAGATAGATAGGTAGATAGATGGCTGGCTTAATTAGCTTGTTTCATCATATCAATCCTTATTAATTTTCATATAGTTTTATATTTTTTTTTGAAAACCATATAGTTTTATATTAAATTATATAAGATTTAGTTTTATATTAAATTATATAAAATTAATTTTTAAATTTAGTTTTGTGTTTTTTTAGTTTTCAACTTTTGAGTGGTTAAGGAAATTTAAATATCTACGGTCTTGTGATTCTTGTCAAAAATCACAAAGGGGTAAACTAACTACTAATTATAGATTAGTTAACTACTAATTATAGTAGTTAAATTTTTAACTTTTTAGTTACAAATTACCAATCTGATTAACTTAATTGGTCGCCTCCACCCCTTGAGGTGGCCTCGTCAAGTGGGAAGGGCAAGGCTACTGGCATCATCATTCATATTTTAAAATGCATGTCCCCTCTTAGCATTTAGATTATTTATAGTGTTTGTAAATACCAAAGGCATTTGAAAACTGCATTTCCCTACCAAAGGCATTTGAAAACTGCATTTCCCTAAAAAAGTATCTCTTTTAAAGATGCAATTTTAGTTAAAAAGTATTATGTGTCTCATAGAAGATCTACTTTAGAACCAAACGCAAAATGTATTCAATCAAATAAGGCGTGTGTTGATTTTATGACTATGAGGTAACCAGTCAGCAAGCTAATACAATCGTAAAACAAGGTCGAAATGCAAAAATGGCACAAAAGTAGTATTGTTACTAGAGAGTGAAACACCCAATCATTTACCGTGTGAAAATTGTATATATAGTATTTTTTTATTATTATTTTTTGAAAATTGTATATATAGTATTGCTAACCCGCATTCTTTTTCCAATGTGAGACAAAGGATCCTCATAGAAGAAACATTATACAGTGCACCATGGCCAAAACGACGCTGTTTCTTTTAATGAAAAGAAACGTGAGAAGAAACGGCAACCGTTATGTCCGTTATATATATTCTATGACGCATTGATTTTTTTTTTTTGATGTTGTAATGAAACTACAGTGTGTATAAAATGAAATTGAATAACAACTCACATATATTGAGTGTATATTATCAAATGAAATTATATTTGAATTAGAATGATACTTTAGCAGTGCACTAATGAGACTATAATGTGTATAAAATGAAACTGAATAGCAGGTCTCACATATTGAGTGTAGATTGTAAAATGAAACTGTAGTCGAATAAGAACGATACTTTAGTGGTGCCGTAATGAGACTACATTGTGCATAAAATGAAACTGAATAGCAAGTCTCACATATTGAATGTATATTACTAAATGAAATTGTAGTTTAATTAGAATGATACTTTAATTTGGTGGTTATGTAATGAAACTACATTGTGTATAAAATGAAACTGAATGGGTAGATCTCATTAAATTGAGTGTAGATTGTCAAATGAAAATGTAGTTGAATAATAATGATATTTTAATGGTGTTGTAATGAAACTATATTGTGTATAAAGTACAACTGAATAGCATGTCTCACATATTGAGTGTATATAGTTAAATAAAATTGTAGTTAAATTTGAATGATATTGTAGTGGTGTTGTAATAAATTACAATGTGTATAAAATAAAACTAAATAATGAGAGAGGTTGTTATATGGACCATAACAAAATTTTCCGTCTACTATTATTTTGAAAAAAAAAAAAAAAAAAAAAAAAACTTAAAACGATGCTATTTTGACCATGGTCGTCCATGTGGACCACAATCCATAGTAAAAGTTTTTTTTTTGTTTTTGTTTTTTTATTTCTAACTGGAAGGGGGAGACCCGAGTACACAATTACACAGATTCACTGGTATTACGCCACAAAGGAACTTCAGCCAAATCATCTTCTAAGATCCCTCTAATTATATCTGGAGGAAGAGGTAGTCTATGAAAACCATCTCTGAATTGTCGCGAGAGTTTAGATAGTGCATCTGCCACCAAATTTTGTTCTCGGTTGATATGTGATACCTGCCAAAGTTCAAACACCCGTAGCTCTTTCCTGCATGCTAACAAGACATTATGTGCTGCAATACTGGGGGGTTTGTTACTATTGAGAAAATCGACTACTTCGTCCGAATTGCTTTCAAATAAAGCCCGTGTGTAGCCCAAAGTTGCTGACAGTTGGATTCCTTTGAGAAGCGCCCAGGCTTCAGCTTCGAGGGGGGTGCAATTCGCTATGGTAGCAACAAAACCATGCTTCCATTCCCCCATGCTACCTCTAATGACACCCCCACACCCTGTAGAAAAGGATGATGGGATCACCGACCCATCGATGTTTACCTTGACCAGGTTGTCCGGTGGTTTCGTCCAGCTAAGTTTCCTCCACTCCAGAGAATTACCTGTAGGTTTGAATCCCCTAGCTTTATCGAAAGCACAAATTACTTCGTTCACCTGGGCCTTTATCATGGCTGTCTTTGATTCGATCGGGATAACCTTGCCGTTGAAGATAGCATCGTTTCGCCATTTCCAAATCCACAATGCCGTGATCGCAAAGACGGTGCTGTTGTGGTAGGGGTGGTTACTGTTATTGTTCGCAGCAGTGCCTTCGTCAATCCAGCTGACAAACGGACTATTTCTAAGCTTTTCATGTAATATAGGCAGAGACAATTTCCAGACTTCTTCCGTCGCAGGGCAGAAACGCATGACATGGTTTGAATCCTCGATGCAATTCTCGCATAGTCCATAGTAAAAGTTGCCCCCTCCTTTTAAGCCTTTCCAATTTTTTTTCCCAATTCAAATAGGTATAATATATCAAATTAATAACCTCTCAATTAAGATAAAGCAATCTATTTTGAGCCAAACTCAAATAAAAAGTAGACCTCTGAAAATTATATCACAAAATACCAACAATTTAAAAGCCTTTTTGAGCTAAATTTGAGAAAATTCTATTTACACCACTTATTTTACTATTTGCACCACCTATTTAGTAAGTCAAATAGCTTTATAGGTGGTGTAAATGCAAATTTGCTATTTACACCACCAGCATTAAATATGGTCAAAGATTATTATTTGTTTTTCATTTTTTTTTTTAAATTAAAAAAAAAAAAAAAAAAAAAAAAAACCTCCCGTCACCTTCTCCAGTGAGAAGGCACCCTAGTGGGTTGCCTTCTCCGGTGAAAAGGCAACCCAGTGGGTTGTTAAAAAAAAAAAAAAAAAAAAAAAAAAAAAAAAAAAAAAAAAAAAAACCAAAGGAAACCATCGCCTTCTCCAGTGAGAAGACGATGGGCATACCTTCTCACTAGAGAAGGCAACTGGGTTGCCTTCTCCGGTGAGAAGGCAACCCAGGGGTCACCTTCTCACCGGATCGAGAAGGCAACCCATGTACCCTTTTCTGGTGAGAAGGCAGCCCAATTGCCTTCTCCGGCGAGAAGGCACCGGAGAAGGCGGGATTTCTTTTTTTTTTTTTTTTTAATTTTTTTTTATTATTTTGAATTAATTAATTATTATTTAAACCTAATAAATGTGATTTAATTAAAGTGGTGCAAATAGCATTTTGACTACTCATTAGACTATTTGCACCCCTATGTATTTATTATAAGATTTTAACATTTTATATTTTCAATGCACTTTTTACCTATTTTGGTTTAAGAGGGTGCAAATAGCAATCCCTAAATTTATATGCCACACTAAAAGTCAATCTATAGGTATACTAAAGATAAAGATAACTCATAACTTCTATCAAGATAATATGTGAACCTATCCCATAGTACATGAAGATGCATACACCAAAATTCGATAACAACTAACAAAGAGAGCAAAATTCATTTGAATATAATATTTATTTTTGTATGGCAACAATGTTTTCCACCCCTACAATTACTCTAGAAATCCCAACTAGAGATGACGAAATATCTAAGCTAGAAATGAAAAATCAAGAAAGTTGAGGACTACAGATTCATCCTCGTTCAAGCAAAGATGCAGATAGTTAAAGCAGCAAAAACAGACTTCCCAAATGTTGCATAGAAGGCGGCAGCCCCACTTGGAGAAGGCACAGGCACCGCCACAGTAGGAACGGGAGATTGTGAAGGAGCGGAGGAGGCACGAACAACATTGATGTCCACCTTCTGGCCGGACTGGCAGTGGCCGGGGACGCTGCACAGGAAGAAGTGGTGGCCGCTGCTGTTGATGGTTATGGAGTCATTGCCGGTGGTGTAAGTTGCGATGGGGGATGAAGCATTGCACGACCTGTACATAGCGTGAGTCACTTCCATCACGTCGTGATACTGAGGATTGTACTCAAACACTGGGAGAAAATTGTAACAACATCGAGTTAAATACAGGGACGGAGCTAGAAATTCGGTTGAGGGGGGTGAAACAGTACAGATGGATTCAGAAAATTTTTCCAAGACCAAACATTAAAACAAAAGAGATAATTTAAAAATAAATAAATAAATTACCTAAGAAATATAGTTGTAAATATTGTTGGATATGAAAGAAAAATAAAACACATCGAAACTTTATAAAAATATTCATAACAAAATATGAAACATAATTAATTTGATAAAATAATTGGAATAGAAAACACATTATAAATTACACATCTTATTATTAATATAAAAGAATGTTATATATATATATATATATATATATATATATGTGTGTGTGTGTGTGTGTGTGTGTGTGTGTGTGTGTGTGTGTGTGTGTGTGTGTGTGTGTGTGTGTGTGTGTGTGTGTTAAATATTAAAGAAGAAGTCATAGGGGAATGAGTAAAAAGAATTGTAAAACTATATTGATGTCAAGATTTGAACCCTTGACCAACCATTACCAAATGAGTTAATACCCAAAATCGTCCTCGACTATAGTGGTTTTCTCAATTTCGTCCTAAACGACTTTGGTGACCTAAATTGAGCGAAACACAAAAGTCTGGGACGATATTAGGTCACCAAAGTCGATTAGGACGAAATTGAGAAAAACCACTATAGTCGAGGACGATTTTGGGTATTAACTCATTACCAAATATGTGATCTACCACCTAATCTAACTCAATTTTGTTAACATTTTATAGTTTTTTATACTAATACTAAAACTTGTACTATATATACATATATACATACAAAGACTATATATGGGGTGGGGGTGGGGGTGGGGTGAGGGGGGCAGCTGCCCCCTGCCCCCCCCCCCCCCCCCCCCCCCCCTTTGGCTCCGTCCCTGGTTAAATAGTGAATGATAAATTGGATGTTGGGGTTGAAAAAAGAAAACTCATTTATTGAGATTGGTCTAAGAGCATCCACAATGGTTGGGGAGAATCGGGGGATAGTGTAAGAGTGATTAGGAAAGAGAAGGTGGGAAGGGAGAAAAAAAAAACAAAACAAAACAAAACTGATTTAAAAATTTAAAAAAAAAAACATGGTCAGGCGCGGTCATTGCACGCGCCCGTATGGGCGGCTGCTGTGCGCGAAACGCGCACAGCAGCCTATCTTTTCTGATATTTCTCTTCCCTTGGGAAGAGAAATATTTTAGCATTTGCAAGAGAAATAATTCTATAATTAATCCCACCCCACATCTATAAATAACCTCACCCAAGTTATTTACATTAACCCCATATTATCCACTAGTGTGGATTCTCTAAAAGTAACAAAATTAATCAGGTCTACTACATATACTTTCAAATTTGACTTCAATTTTACTCTCTGATGTGGCGGACAGACACTATTAAGTTATTTTTTCATGTGGGTTCCTAATACAAATGTTTGATTTTGTGTTTGAGAGTAAAAATTGAAAGTATAAAGTGAGACTACACATAATATTATCCAAATTAATATTTTTAAAATTTTAAAAATGTCAGACATCAAAATCGGAAGAACAAAAGTAGAAAAAATTTAATTCCCATCTAAGTCTTTGAATTAAACACAAGTTAAAAGGTGTTCACTAAAGTGAGTATAATTTCGTCATTTGAATCACTTAAATGATTAAAAAAGTGGTGAAAGATTCAAACTCATGTGTATTACCAACACTCTTATTAGAAGAGTTGCTTACAAATAGAACTGGTCAAAATTTGGATTAGTCTCGTCTGATCGAGTACAAATAATAATGTAGTATGAAAATCAAACTTACACATTTTATTTAACATACTATAATTACTTTCTAATATCCATATTAATATGAGAAAATCACTGCTTTGGTCATTTAATTATTATGCAATTGTCAATTTAGTCCCTAAACTTCAATTTGGTCGAATTGACCATCCAATTGTTTTAAATTTCGTCAATTAAATTATCTAACCCGACTGATTAATTGAATAGTGGCTAGGCTATGATGAAATTTAAAACAATTGTAAGGTTAATTCAATCAAATTAAAAATTATTAAAAATTATAAATTAAATTGACAGTTGCAAAACAATTGAGGGGCTAAAACAATGATTTTCCCTATTAAAATTTGTGTTTGAATTATTTTTCAAACTTTGATCTATTATTTCGCTAACCGAAGAGAATAAAGTGCATACGTTATTCGAATTATGTTTTTTTAAACACTCATGATTCTTTAGAAGGTATTGTAACAGATGTGTATAGTAGTAGTAGTTGGTAGTTATTCAATGCTTCAATTCCAAAAGTATGGGGCTAGCTAATAGTCTTCTCCTAAAAGGTTGAATCTCCAACCCTAAGGGCCCTCACACTCCGACCCGACAGAGTATGTGTGAGGATGTAAATCACGGTGACTCAATGGTTTAGTAGATGCTAGCTAATAGTCTTAAAAGTTAATTAAAGCCCTAGTAATTGGGAAGAATGAAGATAAAAGGACTAAACGAGTTAATAGAAACCAAATAAAACTATTTCAAGAAAGAAAAAAAAAAAAAAAAACCCAAATAAAACAATCAAAACAATATATATAGGCAAGATGCAAAGACTCGATCCAAAGGTATAAGGATGGAGAAGGGAAGACATACCAACAACATCACCAATTGCAAAGGTTTTGTCAGCAGCCCATTTCTTGTAATCAACATTGCCAATCGTTGTCCAACCACTACCATCTCCTACCTTGTACACACCTCCCATCGACACCTGCAAAACCGATGCCAGAATGACGACCAACAACGTCTGCCGCACCATATTCATGTTTAAGGTTGTTCTTGCTCCGATCCTTAGGAGGGAGAGAGAAGAGAGAAAGACTAGATAGTCTTCTTTATTGTTTAGCCTTAGGAGAATATATGTAAAGGGTTGGGAGTCCTTCAAGATATCTTTGTGTTTGGACTTGGAATTTATAGTCTTTTTAGAGTGAGGCTCCACCAATATAAAATGACTTTTGTGGTCCTAGGTTAGTTTGCACTTTACATATCGATATGGGATGGGATAAAATTAAATGGGTAAATAGAAATGGTAAGAAATTAAAATTAAATGGGTCATTTGCAGAAATTTGGATTATAGATATGGTAGGAAATCCTCTATTACTAAAAATTAGTTTTTGTCCCGTGTGATGCATGGCATAAAATTTAAGTAGCTTTATTGTTGATAATATTTTAAAAACAATAAAATAAAATATTAATCATGCATGAAATTAAAATTCATTCTGAAATTTATTTTTCTTTAACAATACTAAATTGGTTATTATATCAAACATCACATATTATTAGCATATATTATTAAAAAAATTGTGTTATTAGATACCAAATGAGATTTAAAAATTTTACATTAAAATAATTATATATATATATATATATATATATATATATATATATATATATATATATATATATATATATAAAACTCAATAGACGTAATAAATAAATAGATGCTAATATTTTCAAAATATCAAAATACACATATTAAAGATGGCCGGTGCATGCACAATAATTTTCACATTGGCATTTAATACCTTAAAATGATGCAATTTCATTTAGGCGGGAAATTGATGTGGCAAAAAACATTTTGTTATTATATAGAGTAAGATAAGATAAGATAAGATTGATTAAAATCAAAAGATTAATTATGGCAGTTTTTTTTTTTTTAATTTTTTTTTACAAAGAAAGGGGGATACCCATACAATCTATGCCTACACCGAGGCTCGAAACCTAGACCTCCCACATAGGGGAGCCATCCAATACCAGTGAACCACAAGCCACTTGGTATTTTCATTAAAAGCTTTTGCATTTTCCATGTATCTATTCTTAAAAAGTGTCTGCGTACGAGATATCTACTATATATATATATATATATATATATATATATATATATATATATATATATATATATATATATATATATATCTACTAGCCTATATAATACTAATAAGAGCCCAAAAGAGTTAGACCTATAATGGGTAGAAAAAATAAGGGTCAAATTTTTTAATCAAATGAATGGCTCAGATTGATCAGATTTTAATTTTTTCTTAAGATTTCCTAATTTATCCTTAATGAATATGATTATCCGTTAACTTTTCCGTTAAATATTATCTTTTCCGTTAACTTCTGTTAGTTCACCGTTAACTTACTCATTGATTTCAATAAGAAAGGTCTTAGGTTCGAACCTCATCCCAATCAAAGTTGGCATAATTAGTACTCTATTTTACTCTTATTAAATTAAAAATAATAATTTAGTAGCTACAACAAAAAATAATACATATGCATTTCTTTAATTTAGAATGATGTGTCTACAATGTCTTTATTCAAAAAAAAAATTATTTATTATCAATAAATTAAATAAGAGAAATAATTGCATTAATTATATTGTCTTTATTTTTCTCAAATATCAAAATTCTTTACATTCAAATTCATCAATTGATTATATTTGCTACATTGTCCCTACAATGTCTTTATTAAGAGAAGTAATTTTATTAGTTATATTGTCTTTATATTTCTCCAATGTAAAAATTATTTACATTTAAATTCATCAATTGATTATATTCACTACATTGTCTATTATCTTTTTTGTGCACTATTTTTTAATTAAATATCAAAGTTAAAATACAAAATAATGTTATATATTTATTTACCAAGTATTTTATTAATACCATGAAAAAATAAAAAAATTATAATTAATAAAGTCAATCATATTAACTACATGAGGGATTTGTTGACAAAGAGAATATTCAAATCACACAACAAATTGAAGTGAGAATTATCTCGCAATGTTCTTGTTTGACAATCAGCAGTTAGCGGTTAGCATTAGCGGATTATATTAGCGAATTTGACCAGCGAATTATATCAACGGTTGGTAAAAAGATATTTGAAAAAATTAACTGTTTAGATTAACATGTAAAATGACCTAAGGTATACATATATTTAATAATAATAATAATAATAATAATAATAATAATAATAATAATAATAATAATAATAATAATAATAATAATAATAATAATAATAATAATTTTTTTTTAAAAAAAAAATAAAAAATATATAATCAAGTCAATCATATTAACTACTTGGGCGATTTATTGACAAAAGAGTATTCAAATTACACAACAAATTGAAGTGTCCTTGTTTAACAATCAGTAGTTAGCTCTTCAATATTAGTATATATTTAATATTTTATGCCCTAATTTTTATTTGTTCTCCCTTATGTCCCGTATTTGATTTCAACCGTACCTATACAATTATTTTATTGACAATTATAATCAATATTGACTATATTATCTTGCATTTGTAAATTCAGAATTGCCTATTTAAATACACAAATTTTACATTCAATTATCTATGCACGAACAATTTCAATATGCTCGCATGGGTAGCTCAACTGGTCATAGAGGTGAAACTTTGGAAGAATGACCAGGGATTGAGTCTCACCAGCGGCAGTGTGAGAGCAACCTCTTAAAGTGAGGGGGGCTCCTTGTGCGCAGTTGAGTCCCCATGATTTACATACTCCCAAATGCTCTCTCGGGCCGGGGTGTGGGGGGCCCTTAGGGTTGGGGTTCAACCTTTTGGAAGAATGAACAATTTCAATATAATCTTGCCTTGATATACCTTAAAATACTTATTTTAGAAAAAAAATATTGGGCATTATCCCAATCGCGCAATGCGCGTAAAAAACTAGTATACTAATATAAGAGCCCAAGAGAGTTAGGCCTATAATGGGTAGAAAAAATGGCGGTCAAGTTTTTTAATCAAATGAATGGCTCAGATTGATCGGATTTTAATTTTTCCTTAAGATTTCCTAATTTATCCTTAATGAATATGATTATCCGTTAACTTTTCCGTTAAATATTATCTTTTCCGTTAATTTCTGTCAGTTCACCGTTAACTTACTCATTGATTTCAATAAGAAAGGTATTAGGTTCGAACCCCATCCCAATCAAAGTTGGCATAATTAATACTCTATTTTACTCTTATTAAATTAAATAATAATTTAGTAGCTACAACAAAAAATAATACATATGCATATCTTAAATTTAGAATTATGTGTCTACAATGTCTTTATTCAAAAAAAAAAAAAGAATTATTCATTATCAATAAATTAAATAAGAGAAATAATTTCATTAGTTATATTATATTTATTTTTCTCCAATATAAAAATTTTTTACATTCAAATTCATCAATTGATTATATTCGCTACATTGTCCCTACAATGTCTTTATTAAAAAAAAAAATATATTCATTATCAATAAATTAATTAAGAGAAATAATTTTATTAGTTATGTTGTCTTTATATTTTTTCCAATGTAAAAATTCTTTACATTAAAATTCATCAATTGATTATATTCACTACATTGTCTATTATTTTTTTTTTGTGCACTATTTTTTAATTAAATATCAAAGTTATAATACAAAATAATGCTATATATTTATTTACCAAGTATTTTATTAATACCATGAAAAAATTTAAAAAATATATAATTAATAAAGCCAATCATATTAACTACTTCAGTGATTTTTTGACAAAGAGAGTATTCAAATCACACAACAAATTGCATTCAAAAAAAAAAAAAATCACACAACAAATTGAAGTGAGAACTACCTCGCAATGTCCTTGTTTGACAATCAGCATTTAGCGGATCATATTAGCGAATTTGACCAGCGAATTATATCAACGGTTGATAATAAAAAGATTTCCTAATTTATCCTTAATGAATATGATTATCCGTTAACTTTTCCGTTAAATATTATTTTTTCCGTTAATTTCTGTTAGTTCACCGTTAACTTACTCATTGATTTCAATAAGAAAGGTATTAGGTTCGAACCCCATCCCAATCAAAGTTGGCATAATTAATACTCTATTTTACTCTTATTAAATTAAATAATAATTTAGTAGCTACAACAAAAAATAATACATATGCATATCTTAAATTTAGAATTATGTGTCTACAATGTCTTTATTCAAAAAAAAAAAAATTATTCATTATTAATAAATTAAATAAGAGAAATAATTTCATTAGTTATATTATATTTATTTTTCTCCAATATAAAAATTTTTTACATTCAAATTCATCAATTGATTATATTCGCTACATTGTCCCTACAATGTCTTTATTAAAAAAAAAAAAATTATTCATTATCAATAAATTAATTAAGAGAAATAATTTTATTAGTTATGTTGTCTTTATATTTTTTCCAATGTAAAAATTTTTTACATTAAAATTCATCAATTGATTATATTCACTACATTGTCTATTATTTTTTTTTTGTGCACTATTTTTTAATTAAATATCAAAGTTATAATACAAAATAATGCTATATATTTATTTACCAAGTATTTTATTAATACCATGAAAAAATTAAAAAAATATATAATTAATAAAGTCAATCATATTAACTACTTTGAGTGATTTTTTGACAAAGAGAGTATTCAAACCACACAACAAATTGAAGTGAGAACTACCTCGCAATGTCCTTGTTTGACAATCAGCATTTAGCAGATCATATTAGCGAATTTGACCAGCGAATTATATCAACGGTTGATAAAAATATATTTAAAAAAAATTAGCTGTTTAGATTAACATGTAAAATGACCTAAGGGTATACATATATTTAATAATAATATTTTTTTAAAAAAAAAATTATAAAAATATAATTAAGTCAATCATATTAACTACTTGAGGGATTTTGACAAAAAGAGTATTCAAATCACACAACAATTTGAAGTGGGAAACTATCTTGCAATGTCCTTGTTTGGCAATCAGCAGTTAGCTTTTCAATATTAGTATATTTAATAATTTATGCCCTAATTTTTATTTGCTCTCCCTTATGTCCCGTATTTGGTTTCAACCATACCTA